TTTGTCTTAAAATGGGTTTTTGAGAGAAAAAAATATTCTAAATGAGAAAAGAATGTGACTTCACAACTCTATAATAATGTCTATAGTTGTATTATGAAGAAGATAAGCAATCAAGAAAAAACATATGGCTTTCTAATGTAGCGAAACTAAACGCAAGAGAGAATTCAAAGAAAATTTTGCATTTAATAAAAAACAACCAACACTACAAATAATAGAATAAGAGTCCTAACTAGGACTCCTAACTAAACTCTATATAACCTAAACTTCTCTACCAAGTAAAGTACTAAAATAATTAAATACCTTAAATACAACAAAATAATGGGAGTTTATGTGGGGTGAATGTATGATCATTATGTTTAGGTGTAACAAATGTGTAATTTTGTGGTAGTACTTAATAACTAGTTAGGTGAAGTGGTCATAATTATTAAGGCCACTTAATTATTTTAGTCAATTCAAAACTCCTTGGTTTACAAGAAATTACATTTTTCACTTGTTTAGGGAAAAAATTCTTCTTTTAATGAGGTTTGACTAGGTTCCTTTTGTTGTTGGACCAAATTCATAATTCCCTTTTGCTTTAAATTGGACCGAATTCACACTTCTATTCCCATTTGTATCCACCAAACAAACACTTAGACCTTGCTTGTTTACAAATATACATCTCAACTCAAAATTTAACTCAACATTTAATTTAATTATATTATTCTCAATATTATCAATATTATCAATATAATCAGATAATATTAATAAATAATCCTTACGCAATCATATCAACTTTAATTTACTATTCATTGACTCTCATAATTTTAACTACATTTGACTTCTAATCATCTATCTCCTATTTTTACATCAAATCAATTTTAATCATTCTATTTGAAATACAATTTTAAAACAAACTTAAAAAATTCGCTAATATCTAATTCTACCAACTTTTTTTTTTTTTTATAATTAAACTTAGTTAACAAAAAAACATATCAAATACCAGTATATTTCTAAAATAGCAAGCGCTTAAGTTAGAAAAATAATAAGCTGATACATGAAGCAAATAGTTATATGACGGTGTCCCATCACTTGTAAATTGTTTTGTATTTGCTTTGATATATGTTGATGTTTGTGATTGCAAATGAAATAAATAATAAAGTAAGATATAAAACTTATTGGGTTTAATGTACCAAACCCCCTTGTATTATACGAAATCTGCGCGTTTCCCCCCTGTATTTTAAAAATTGCGTCAGATCCCCTTCTATTAAGGTTTTGTATGCGCGAAACACCCAAAATTGCATCAGACCCCCTTCTATTAAGGCGATTTTGGGTGTTTCGCGCATACAAAACCTTAATAGAAGGGGGTCTGACGCAATTTTTAAAATACAGGGGGGAAACGCGCAGATTTCGTATAATATAAGGGGGTTTGGTGCATTAAACCCAAAACTTATTCCATGAAATTATAGTTGCTAGTTCAATTCGATTCTTTATATTAATCATTTAAGGTTGGTTAAAATATTTTCTCTTTCCGTTTTAATCTATATAATCTATATCTATAATCTATAGCTATTTATAACATTCTTATCTATAATTTATAATCTATATCTATAATCTATAACACTCTTAAAAATAGAGATGTTTCTTGAAAAATTTGGATTGCCAAAAATGTCCTACACTATAATTAATTTATAAGGTCATTTATGTAATTTGATTAACGTTAGAGAGTTACAATTATTAACATTTATTTTTCAATCAAGTTTTGATCAATCTTCTTTATTTTATTGTTTGTTTTATCTATGGTCTTATTCAACTTTTATTATACATTTATGTATTCAATATATTTTTAGTATATAAAGGCGTAAAATTATCGAAGAAAATATAAAAAATTCAAAATAAATAATTATAATAAAACCTTAAAAACTGTTACACCTCCCTTCTTTGTAACAATTAGTAACAATATTATAATACATGGGCCTTAACATGATGCAAATTGGGAAATCTTTAGATACTAAAAATTGATGAAAATTATAGCAACAATGTACATCATTCCTTTCGCCAATGAGTTCATTAAGCAGCATTATTTGGACTAACATGTCAAGATAAAAATATTACTTAAAAGAATTATTATTTATAATTCATTGAATTATTTTTAAAGTTTAATATAGTTTGAATGCCCACATAAAAAAAGTAGTGCATGTGTAATAATTTCGAGAAATGTATTGGTTGTTTATGTTTTGTTTCGTTTTATGATATATTTACATATATATATATATATATATATATATATATATATGTGTGTATCGTCAGTCATTCTATTGTTCACTATTATTTTTCAAATAAATTTTCATAGTTTATATCATTACAACCATGATCACGATTTCATACAATGGTTAAGATAACATTAATTAAAATTTATAGATAAATGAGGCTTCGTCAGTAATTAACAATCACTTAAAAACTGAAAAATATATTGATTTTATTTTTGTTTATTTAAGACAATTTTATTGATTTACTTTTTTTCTACCATAACTATTAACTCATGCCATTAAAAATTATGGTTCAGAGCCAAAACATTTATAAAATTTATTATTTACATATTTTTTCTCTTTTATTAAACTAATGTAAAAATTTGAATTTTTAAGCACAACTTTACTGATAATATAACTATTAAATAAAAAAAAAATATTAGTAATCAGGTCGCGTGCAACTTCTTAGTTTGAAAAAAGGAAGGGTTAGACTAACCATATGATAGAATTTCCACTGACTTAGGAAGTTATTAGGGAGCAAAATTTATCACTAATTCATTGTCAATGGATTAATTATCCCACCATGAGTCATGTCATCACATTGAATTAGGAATTAAGAGTGCCATAACCCCAAGTGCTGCAAACAGCTTTCCCCACAATCTTATCTCCTTGATTGCTACTTAATTAGGAATTGCAAAAGGAGTTTTGATGTCATGGTGTTGTCATATCGCGTAATAATTCTAAAAGAGTCTTGATGTCATTGTGATGTAATAATTTTGTTTTTTCTGCCTTTTGGTCATCTACTCATTTTTTGAATTAATATAATTGTAATAATTTAAAAAACAACAAAAAATAAAGTACGATATTTGATAGCATAATGGACATTTTTGTTAAATAAATATTATGATAGGTCGACTCACCTAATAATTAAGCAGCTACTTCATACAAAAATTTGTGACTTTCCAAACTAGCTAATATCTTCAAAGTATTTAAATTAGTAATTAGTAAGCATATCAATACAACATTGTAGATAATTATTTATGGGGGCATAATACAACATTTGTAGATAATTACTTTGGTAGCTTAATACAATATTTGTAGATAATTACTTATGGAGCTTAATGACTCCACAAGACACATCTTGCAATTGTTTCATATCAAAAACTATTTCAGTAATATCTCATCAAACTATTTCATTAAACATCTATATACATACACATACATGCATACTTGCTAATTTCTCAATTTTGAGTGTAGATGTTACAATGGGGAGACCACTATGTATCAAACATAGCAGGAGAAATCTCTTTACTCTGTGGACTAGCCTTGTGGATCACAACTTACCCTACCATTAGAAGGAACATCTTTGAACTCTTCTACTACACACACCAACTATATGCCCTCTTCATCATCTTCTTCATACTACACATCGGCATAGGCTTCGCCTGCATCATGCTCCCGGGTTTCTACCTATTCCTCATCGACCGATACTTAAGGTTTTTGCAATCGACACAGAAAGTCCGTTTAGTCTCTGCATGTGTCCTACCGTGCGACACGCTCGAGCTCAACTTCTCCAAGAGTCGGAGTAAGTAAGATAACACTTATTCTGCCTTCATATACATAGTTTTTGCATGATAAATTGATTTTAAATTAAGAAAATGTAAGTATAGCTTGATGAGTCATGAAAATTAATCACAACAATTTTGTTGTGCTTTGGCCCCATTTAGGCTAGGCTATGTCCCAAAAAAATAGAAAGCATGACATGAAGATACATGTTTTTTTTAGATTATTTAACATTATTTTTTTTCTTATCTTATTGCCAATCCTTTAGTTAGAAGATGGTGCAAATTATGTAATAACATATTTTTGACAGACCTGAAATACAGCCCAACAAGTAGCATCTTTGTAAATGTGCCCTCCATTTCTAAGCTTCAATGGCATCCTTTTACAATCACATCAAACAGTAATTTGGAGCCAGAGAGGTTAAGCGTCGTGATCAAATGTGAGGGGCAGTGGACACGAAAGCTTTATGACCTCGTCTCGTCTCCTTCAACCATCAATAATCATCTCCAAGTATCGGTCGAAGGGCCTTATGGGCCGGCTTCAACTAATTTTCTCAGGTTGACCAAACTCACAGATATAAGGAGTGAGAAATGGTGTTGTTCGTTGCAAAACTGCACCAAATCGTAAAATATTAAATCTATAAAAATAAATAACCAAACCACACAATAAAAGAGGAAAAAAAGTATAACCAAAATCGAACCTATTTTTTTCACTAAAATAACCCGAACCTAATCGCACTGAAATGCATGGTTCAACTCGGTTTTTGGTTTTCACTCGGTCTTCCTATACATTTATATTAAATTTTGGTTTAGTTGGGTGCAAAACAACACCAAATAAAAAAAAAAATGGAAATTCAAACTTATAAAAAAAATAATAACCAACTCGATTTTGCTCACCACTACTCACACACATATGGGATGCTTCATGAATTTTTCAGAGTGCTTTATTTGTATTCAACTATTTTGTTTTTAAACTATGAACACTTGAAAATTTTCAGGCATGACATGCTGGTGATGATCAGTGGAGGCAGTGGCATAACACCCTTCATCTCCATAATCAAGGAGCTTATCTACATTAACACAACCCTCAAATGCCAAACACCCAAAATTCTACTCATTAGTGTCTTCAAAAACTCCTCTAACCTCTCCACACTCGACCTCGTCCTCCCGATTTTGTACCGTACGAACCCTTTCTACTTGGACCTCAAAATCGAGGCCTACATCACAAGGGAAAAATGGCACCCGAAGGACGATGAGTCCCCAGGCCCACAAACCGTGTTTTTCAAATCCGGCCCTTCAGACAGGCCCGTTTCCCCTGTTCTTGGCCCGAACGGCTGGCTTTGGCTGGCTGCCATAATCTCGTCATCCTTCGTCCTTTTCTTGGTTATGTTGGGGATCTTCACGCAGTACGTGGTGTACCCAGTCGACCACAACACCAACATGCTCTACTCATACACAAAGAAAGGCTCGATGAACATGTTATTCGTATGCTTCTCGATTATGACAGTGGCCAGTGGAGTTTTCTTGTGGAACAAGAAACAGAACGCAAAAGAGGCCAAAAATATTCAAGACTCGGATGAATCATTGACCAGTCGGTCAACTGATTCATCATCCGAACGTGAGGAAGATATCGAGATGGAGAGCCTTCCTCTGCAATCGGCCTTGGAGTCGTCGGTCAACGTGCATTATGGACAGAGGCCCGATCTCAAGAGTAAGTTTTAACATGCATTTTTACACTGAATATTTTGTTCTAGTTATGAAAAAGTTTTGATCTTTTGAGTTTGAGGTACCTTACAATTATGTTTTTGCAAGAAAGGTTTTCATGACATGAAGAGATTGATGTGTGTGGTTTGATTGATTTTTGTAGGGATTTTGATGGGGATTAAGGAACCAAGTGTTGGGGCACTTGTTAGTGGGCCAAAGAAAATGAGAGAAGATGTTGCAGCCATATGCTCATCTGGGCTGCAGGCTGGTAATTTGCATTTTGAGTCCATCAGCTTCACTTGGTGAAATTTGAAGTCTCTGCATGAGTGGATAATTTAAAGAAGCATAGACTATATATAGTAAGCGATGTTATTTATGTGTTAGAAAATATGCTATACAAATAATCAATGAGTGGTTGAGTGGTTGTTACTTTTTTTCTTTTCATTTTTTTTTTTAGATAAACAGAGGTTTTATGAAGATGCATTATGTATTGTATGTCATTCATTCATATCGGTTTGCGAGAGTTTTTTTTTTT